AGAGGGGGAGAAAGAAAGAGGATAACAAGAGGGAGAGAGAGGAAAGAGACAGAGAGAGAGAGAGAGAAGGAAAAAGAGGACCGGAAGGAGCAAGAGAAGGGGAGAGGGAAGAGAGAGGGGGGCAAGGAAGAAGAGGGAGGAAGGGAAGAGAGAGAGAGTGAAGGAAAAAGTGAAGGGGAAGGAGAGAGTATGGGGGAGAGAGGAGAGGAAAGAGAGTGAAAGGGAGGAAGGGAAGGAAGAAATAAAGAGACAGAGAGACAGAGACAAGGCAGGAGAGAGCAAGAGACAGGAAATAGAGGGAGAGAGGAAGAAAGAGGGATAAGTGTGCGGTAGGTTGGTGGTGTTGGGTGGGTTTGTGGTCAGTCTCTCGTTGGCGATCACTTGTTTCCATGTGACTTGTCGTGGCAGAGGTCAGGGCCGTCAGAGCCGAGGTCATTACTGCAGAAGAGTCTGGGGTTAATGAAGCAGGAGCCGCCGGAGCCACACTGATGACGGACGGAGGAGGAGGGGGGGGGATGTCACTTTCAGGCTGGACATGTGAAAAAATGCTTCGAAATCATTACATTTAAGATTTTACTAAAACGTTTAAACAATTTTCCCAGTTTGTCATTTATTTAAGTTTAAAATTGTACTTCCAGGTTCATATCACTGTTACCTGGCAACCAATTTCTACACTGGGCCAAACAGAAAATATAATATACAAGAAAACAGCTTTATTTGGTTGGGAAAATGTTTAAAATATCAGAAAAAAAATTATTCTGAAGTGTAAATTGTGCAGAATTTTTGGACAGAATTCTCTCCTTCCTGTAATTTTTTTCGACATTTTTTCAACTTTTCTTCACAAATTGTTTCTTGATTGGTGTAAAACTATAATTTATATTGACAACAGGTATTATCGAACCAAATTAAGTCAAAATGAGAGAATCATCAAAAACCTGTCATACCGCGATGCTAACGGTAGGCATGCTCTGTCTGAGGCTTTGTTAGACTTTAATCTGAGTTTTGTTTTAACACAATCTGACTAAAAACAACTGGAACTACAATAGGTGATCTGATTACAGTCACAAGTTAGTCACTCTCACCTTTTTGTTGAAAATCAAACTCCTAAACAGAACCACGAACGCTCGTACTGATCACACGCTCCTGAAAATGTGCCGTTTGAATTTAATTTTATATTTTTCTTTAAAGTTATTTGGCTATGTTTCCTAGTGCTGAACATTTTGCTTTAAAAATACTTGGAGTAAACCCCCGACGTGATGTTACTACAAAGAATCAATACTGTCAGTACAGTATAAGGCTGTACATGAGGGGTGACTTAATAAACATCTGAAAGTGCCACGCTGTAAATTTGCGGAACTGTCAATGGCCATAGTTATCCTGCCACTAAAAACAGTCTTACCCACTCCACAAAACACCCGAAACAAATGTATTATTACACCAGACTGTCGATGTAAATGTCTGTGTTGATAGAATAATGTTTGAAATAAAACTAAGCTTGCATTTGAAGGATTTATGTCTGAGCAGCAGCAGTGAGTTGTTCTTCCTGATAGAAATTTTAGCAGAGGCGGACTGATATATGAGAAAATAGTCCCTCAACATGTGACGAATCATGAGATCCGAGGTTAGTTTTATTTCAAACATTCTTCCATCGACACAGACATTTACATTGACAGTCTGGCGTATTTATAGTTTTGCTTTGGGTGTTTTGTGGAGTGAGTAAGACTGTTTTTAGTGGCAGGATAACTATGGCCATTGACATGCACTAGTCTAACACCAGCGACCTCTGCAAATACAAGGACTGGATGGAATATTTAAAAAAAAGTGTCTCCACACGTCTCCAACACTCTGGCTCTCGAGGAAATGAGGTCCAATGTCCAAAATTCCGGACTGTCCCTTTAAGCTTTCGTCTTTTTCACCTTGATAGTTGTGGATAAATTCTTCATGGACAGAATATTCATCATTTGTGGACCTTGTTGGTTGAAGATTTGGTCACGGGGCAGATTTATGAAGCCGGTGAAGAATACGCAAGACATTTCCACACACATTTTGACATAGAAAACCATTAACCGGAAGTTTTGTTGTCCCTCAAATTTCACTTTTACTTCACAAAAAAGTCGATCTATCTGGGTGATAATAGCTCAGTTCGTAGAGCATTTGCCCACTGATCAGAAGGCTGGCGCTTCGAATTCTGCTTTCGGCATAAACAAGTGATTCCTACTCCCACAGATGACTGCTTTCGTTGTGTCCTTGGGCAAGACACTTCACCCGCCTCGCCTCTAGTGTCTACGTATACTGGTGTGTGAATAGGTGAGTAGTTCTTTGTGTGTTAAAGGTGGAAAAGCGCTGTATAAAAACGTGATGATTTACCATCTAGCCTACAAAAAAAAACGCATGAATTGTTAATTTTCGAGAACGGTTTTAACTTCAGTCTCGCAAACTGCACTTTTATAGCTCGCCGGAAACAACTCGAAGCGTCCTCACGTAACATCTTGTCCCTTATACTCCAAGCATCCACATTAACATAGTCGTGTGCGTTACTACCACTCGTCTCCCGTGTCTGTGTGTAAAACGAATGCACCGGGACGTACACGCTCTGCAGACCTGGCTATATTTGTTAACAGCCCTCGCCCCTCTCGTACTCTCCAAAACACTGCACAATACCGGTCATTGTAGCTCAGTAAAAGCTTGTGCCGACACAGGGGTACATTGGAAATAGCTCTTGTCATTAATGCTTTATTAATTGCCGCGGGGTAGTACTCGGCGATGCAGGGTGCGTTGGATTTCTCTGACACTTTGAGGTCAGCGTGCCGGGCGGGTGGAGAGGAGGAGGAGGGAGGAGGGAAGAGAGAGGGAGGAGGGGAGGGGCTTTGTCTTTTCCTTTGTTTCATGGCCGCTCACATGTGAACAGGGGAGATGGCTGCTGGGCTGCCTCATGGAAATGCCGGTTTGGAGACTGGGTTAAAGCTTAAGTACGGGGGGTGTGTTTCTCCGGGTCCGTGTTGTGGAGATAACACATGTATAATTAATGGTGTGTTTTTCTACCGGCAGAGAGAGAGAGCACGGCGAAGGCAATCTGAAATTCAACAACATTTCATGGGCTCAATTTTGCGCCGCGAATGTAAAACCGCTCCACTCTTATTACGCAAATCGAAATATGTATTCAGTTTGAAATCGAGAGGTCTACAGAAAATTGTCTGCGGTTTGGAACAGACGGAAGACTTTGGAGGAAGAGATCTGACCTTTTCTGATTTAAATGGCACCGATTCTTTCTTCTTTATATATAGGAAAATTATTATTAACTGAAGATCTGGTATTGAAACCACGTATTTTGGAGTGATTCATATTGATATTGATCCTCTACACTGGTCTAACTTTCTAGGTGAAGGCTTTTCAATACATATATTTGTATTTATTTATTTGGAAAAGTACATTATAGAACATATGTGTATATAAAAAAAAAAGCTAAACAAAACAACAAAAACAAACCAGTCAATCAATCAATGTATCATGTAAATATAATAAACACATATCATATATTTTCCAGGTTGATAGTAACATTAAAATCCCATTTAACACAAAACACAAAAACAGTATCACCAATACTGGACCAAAGACAAGAACCTCACACAAACTGGGATCAAAAATGAGACTGAGCAACAGCAGACTGAACACAGTACGGGGTAGAGGCAGGCAGGAGCAGACAGGAGCAGACAGGAGCAGACAGGAGCAGACAGGAGCAGGCAGGAGCAGCAGGAGCAGCAGGAGCAGACAGGAGCAGACAGGAGCAGACAGGAGCAGACAGGAGCAGACAGGAGCAGACAGGAGCAGACAGGAGCGATCCATAACCACAAACTAAGGAGTTGTCACATCATTAAATTTTCTCTTTAATTTCTCTTTAAGAAGATTTATAAATATAGTGTGCTATAGTGTTTTGATCTAAATATAAGCTGATATACTGCCCCTACCTTAAAGTGCTCAAGTATTGCACGTACCCTAAAGTGCTGAAGGATTACACGTACCCTCGAGTGTTGAAGTATTGCACAGACCCTAAAGTCATCAAGTACTACACAGACGCTTAAAGTGCTCAAATGTTACACAGATCCTAAAGTGCTCAAGTACTACATAGATCCTAAAGTGCTGAAGTATTGTACCTACCTTAAAGGGCTGAAGTACTGCACGTAACCTAAAGTGCTCAAGTACTGCACAGACCTTAAAGTGCTCAAGTATTGCCCAGACCATAAAGTGCTCAAGTATTGCCCCTACTCTGAAGTGCTCAAGAATTACACACACCCTAAAAGTGCTCTAGAATTACACACACCCTAAAGTGCTCAAGTACTACACAGATCCTAAAGTGCTCAAGTATTACACACACCCTAAAGTGCTCAAGTACTACACAGATCCTAAAGTGCTCAAGTATTATATAGACCCTAAAATTCTCAAATATTGCACAGACCCTAAAAGTACTCAAGTACTACACAGATCCCAAAATGCTCAAGTATTATACAGACCCTAAAGTACTCATGTATTGCACAGACCCTAAAGTGCTTAAATATTGCACATACCCTAAAGTGCTGAAGAACTGCACAGACCCCAAAATGCTCAAGTATTACCCGTGCCCTAAAATTCTGAAGTATTGCACAGACCCTAAAGTGCTGAAGTATTACCTGCGCCCTCCACTGCTGAACTATTGCATGTACCCTAAAGTTCTGAAGTACTGCATGTACCCTAAAGTGTTGATACACTGCCCATTCCCTAAAGTACTCATGTATTGCACAGATCCTTAAGTGTGTAAGTACTGAATGGAGTTCTTATAAAATGTGTTCACAGGTTTGTGTTGATCTGATGTGCATTACTACAACTTGTCATTTTACATTATGGTTTCATAGGAATCAATAGGAGCTGATTGACAAACCGTGCTGCTGCTGCTGCTGGTGGTGGAGGTGTTTTGACCTTCAAATGTGTTATGTCATTTCAAAAAATTCTGATTTTGATGGACGTACCTTGACATCTGCAGTGTCCCTCTGGCAGAGCGTCCAGGAGCGGCTGATCCCAGAGAAGGTCCTGTCCGGATGGGGAAATCTGTGTCCGTGTGTGGACAGGAAGAACGTGGTGAAGGGCTCCTGTCAACACAACACAACCAGAATACAATCACAATACACATCAAGATCCCCAAAATGTCTGACAAAATTATTTGAAGTTGCACAATGTAACTTTTCTGGTGGGGGTTTAATGCCGTATGAACCTGAACACCCCATCCACTTCAAAACCAAGAAAAGTGTGACATTAAACGCACCTATCTCCATGGAGACGAGCACATGACCTCAACAGAGCAATGCAGGTTTTTCAAAGTGTCTGTGACTGTATATATATAAAAGGACACAGCTAACGCAAAATAAGATAAAATAAGAAATTAGTAGTTCAGGCTCCTATTCACCCTGGCTCCTACTGTGACTCCTTTCTCTGTAACTGCCGCTGTGAGCCTCGTCATTTTGGCTTTAAAATGTTCATATTAACCCGCTCTAAATGATCGTGGTGTTTATATTTAGCTGTTTTGTCAATTAAAAAAAAAAATCCTAATCTTAATAACGAGCCTGACTCCAAATTTACCCCTGTAACCGCAAGTGTTGTGAGTTTCGTTTGACTTGAGATGAACAAAAAAAAACCCAAAAACAAGACAGCACAGCAGTTCTGATAGTACATAGTAGATTCAGTTTAAATCAGGGGTCTCTAACCTTTTTCCTCCGTTGAGCTACCTTTACAAAAATGAAAATACCAGAGAGCTACTTAATTTAGCAATCGCAAGAAATTGAGTTAATAAAAGAGCCTTAGATGGGGTAAAGTTTGATGATTATAAAACATAAACCATTTATTACTGCATAAAGTTAGACATCAGAATGGCACATTTACAATGGCAATAGCCATTTAAGTAACCATAATTTTGTTATTCAGCACAATCTCTGCAGCACGACTGCTGACAAGGACCAGGAAGAGAGAGCACATCACCCCAATACTGAAGTCTCAGTATTGGGCTTCAGGATAGATTTTAAAGTTCTTTTATTGGTTTATAAAGCTCTTAATGGTCTTAGTCCTATTTATTTATCTGATCTGCTTTTATCATATGAGCCTCAGGTAGTCTTCTTTTAACTGTCCCAAGAGTTCAAACTAAGACCCACGGTGAGGCGTCTTTTAGCTTTTATGGCCCCCGTTTGTGGAACAGTCGACCTGAGGATCTGAGGTCCACTGCGAGTGTTCATATTTTTAAAAGTAAACTTAAAACATATCTTTTTAATTTAGCTTTTAACTGAAACTTTTAGCTGTTTTAACTTAAATTATCATTATTATTGTAATTATTATGGTTATTTTAAATTAAATTATCATTACTATTTTACTTATGGTGGTGGTTTAAATACTAACCATCTATGTGGTAACTCATGTCCATTACATCAGTGTTTCCCAAACTGTTTTTCGGGGGACTCATATTTTAAAAGTCACAAATCTTTGCGACCAAAGTCAACAGACATTATTCGTAAATCACAAAATAAATTTGTGGCCATTATTGAACATTAATGACTAGAAGGTACACCGGATTATAAAGCGCATTAAGCAAAACAATCGGACGACACTTGAGACTAGAATTTTTTAAGGAGGACGACTCAAATATACACTGAGTAATAATGTGTTTAATGCAGCTTTGCGCACATTTGTTTACATTTTACAAAAACAAAACTTAAAACCACATGTTTAATTTGCATAAGCTATAAAAACTGGAAAAAAAAAAAAAAAACTGCTGTTACCTACATGCAGATTTTGACAACGGCGACCCCAAAAAAATGTCTTGCGACCCACCTAAGAACCTGAGGGTCACGACGCAGTCTTTGGAAAACACTGCATTACATCATTGTTTTCAGAAAAAAAAAAAAAGAGAAACAAACAAAAAAAAAAACCCACATACACACACGCACATTAAAAATATTTTAATAACTTAGCAGTACATTAAGTTTCTGAAAAATATTTTTGATGAAAGTACAGGTGGCTTGTGGTGTTTAGTTACATCTCAAAGCTGTTTAGCCCACTGTAAGATTTCAAACTGTTTTTATTCCAGAAAGTCTATGGGAAAAATAAATGGGAGATTTACAGACTGCGTTCACTGTAGAGCTCAGTTGTGGAACATCTGATGTAAAACTTTACAGAAGAATAAGTTTTCACACCAGTTAGAACAACTTTACAACAAACTGAGCCCAAACAAACTTTGTGAACAGTTGACACAGCAGAGCAGCTCGATTCAAAATGGCCGACGTCTCAGCATGTGCTCACCGTTTCTCCTCTCGCGGTCATTATTTCTGCGCCTGAGGAAAAATTAATTAGCGTCCTTCCGGAGTGTACAGTGCGCGGCGTAATGATAATTGGTTCAAATGTAGTTTTGTCGGAGCGATCGGGCGGACGTGTCAGTCATCACGGGACAAAGAGAAACAAACTACTCCACGGCTGTCAGCTCCTCCCGTTCATCAAGCCTGTTCAAAGTAATGCTAGCAAGCCTGAAATAATAACTCCCAAATCAGTCACTTTTCAAACCACACAACACTGTCTCATTATAAAATGGGCTCAGCTTGACAGTTTTTCATTCCGTGATTGTGGGACCAAAATGTACTTAGCCTTGTCCAATAATATAGGCTATACGGTCGAAGTATTCATAATTCTAATGACAGCTGGACTTTTGTGAAACTCGTAAAACAAAAACAACTTTAGTTTAGTGATAATACAACTTCACAAACCTGGCGTGATGAACGAAATGGACGCTGATTGTGCTAGGGTGAATAGACATCCCTATTTACCCGGGACAGTCCCAGTTTTGAGCAGATTTATCCAAAACCAGTGATTTCTCCCAATTTTATACAAGAAATGTCCCTGGTGTCCCTATTTTTGACCAATTTGATCCCTGCAAGCAATAAAGAGAAGCATACATTGTCATTTGTTGAGGTAAAATACAGAAAAGCTGCTTAAAAATGACCAAAACAGAAAGAAAATGTGACTATACTGACTCAAATTTGTGCCGAATGCATAAAATTTTCCTTAATTACGCACTTGTTTCCAACCAACTCAAACCAGGGATGTCTCAGTTTTTTATTTTGAAAATCTGGTCTTTCTAGATTGTGCTCTGAAGGGGGAGTGACTAAACATGGGGAGCAAAGGGTGGGGAGATTTAAGAAGAGAATTGAACAAACTACGTTAAAATGTAGTTCAGTCAGCAACATTTTCAAGCTGAGTTCTTCTCTCAAACAGAAAACACTTTGTTCTACCTTGTGATGTCATGTGGTAATAAAAGAAGAGCTCCACTGTGTTTTTAAACTCCACACACCTTCACTAGAATCATTTGGATTATTTTAGACCTGGAATTGCCTGATCTCTACTGAACAGAAGGTAAAAGGAGCTGTTAACTTGAAAGTGTGGGGAGACTCGGAGCGTCAAAAATGAAAGTGAAGCTCATAAAACAATTACGTTGTTTACGGCGTTACATCATTTTCAAAACAGTAAGGTAACATGGTGACCTAAATATGTTATGTGTTATCAGTTAATACCGCATAGAAGTGTAATTCCTCCTCTTTTTAAAGGGTCTATGTTACACTGTTTGCCGATCTATGTCAGGCCCCTTTCACACTAGTTTGTATTTGAGTCGTTTTCGTTGTGGACGCAGTGTTCGTCCACAGTAAACGGAAGGAAAACGGCTCCAGAGACGGAACGATCTGGTGTCACCAACTCCCACGAATTCATGTAAGTACAGATCTGATCCGGCACTGTGTGGACGCCTGAAAACGCTGATACACTGACGGAGGAGCTCTAATTGACATCCTTATTGGACCACGTCACTGTGACTTCCAGATTCGCTTGGTTTGTGACATTGATCATGTGACACTATTGCGGAAAACAGTTTAAACAAACCGTAAACAAACAGGAAACAGTGTAGCTAGAACTACTTGCTAGAAACCATGTGCCTGGACGCTAATAGTTTCCAATACGGTGTTACAGTGATACGGTAATGCGGTGATTCGTTTCAGTGAGTGTGTATACATGCACATCAGTAACCCGGTTATTAGCCATATCCCGGTTATGTCAGTATTCGGGTTACTGCGTTTACATGCGCACTGAGAAACCGGGACACTCATATCCGCGTGTACATGATCAAATGGAGTATCCCGGTTTCTTGACATAATCTTACAAATGCGCAGGCGCAAAAATTAACTTAAATCAATTTCATAAACCAGGAAAAATACAAACCGTGAGCTCCTTTAGCATAAGAAGCTAAGGAGCTACGAGATCTCCCACAATCCACTGTGCAGATTCTTCATTAAAATCTTCTGCATAAATAAACTCAACTTTACAACATATAAACCATAAACACTATAGACACATCAGCCCGTTTGATCAGATAATTCAGCTGTGATCACATTTGTTTACGTTTTACAGAAACGAAACTTAAGACCGTTTGGCTAATTAGCATAAACTGTTAGCGGCGATAAAAACAACTCGCTCCTTGCGCCGCTGATGCGATCAGTTTTTTTTTTTTGGACTAAATGACACGACTCTGTGGATTATGTGTGTTATTTCTGTGACAGAAGAGGCGCTAATGATGGTAAGTGTGTTTCGTGCGTATAGTGTATAGGAGATAGTTCATGTTTTAGCTTTTCAGCGTCACACGAGTGCAGGTCGTACGAGTGCAGATTGTACGTGTGCAGGTTTAGCGCAGCTCTTAATTTTACAGTCATTTCACTCGTTTGGTCACTTTATTTATGTTGGTCAATTTATTTATGTCACTACTGTTGTGTTGAGAGGCTGGAAAGTGTCTTTTGGACGCATGCGCACTCAACTTTATGTTGCAGTAACCGGGGTACTGCGTATACATGCCACAAGTAACCCGGTTACTATCGGAATAAACCAGCTACAGTAACCCGGTTTCTAATAACCGGGATACTGCCATAACCGGGTTACTGAAACCGGGTTACTGCGTATACATGCACCATCAAGAAACCGGGATACTCAAAAAACCCGATCATAACCGGGTTATTGATGTGCATGTATACGCACTCAGTGTGAACATAACCTTAGAATGTTGTTTCCTCATCACAAACAGACCTGGAGTTGTGTTTTGTTTCATTCACACATGTTTAACACACAAACCTGCATATTTAGCCTGAGCTCTTCTCTTAAACAGACACAATAAACACTCTGTTCCACCTTATGATGTCATGTGGTAAGACAGGACACGCTCTACTGTGTTTTTAAACTCCACACACCTTCAGTAGAATCAGTGTCAGCCCTGGACTTGCTCATCTCTACTGAATAACAGGTAAAAGGAGCTGCTAACTTGAAAACTACCACTTCATGACATCACAAGGTGGAACAGAGCATTTTGGGTTTGGAGATGTAGACCACTGATTCCCAAAGACTGAGTCATGACCTTCAGGTGAGTCGCAAGAGATTTTTTTGGGGTCGCCTTGTCATGATCTGCATGTAGGTCGTTGAAATGATCATATCCTTTCCTCAGTAGGGTTAGTATTTCTAAGCTTATTCCTTTCACTACTACATAAATGTGTGAACTGTGATTTTCTGAGCTCACGAAAATGAAGACAAAGCACAGAAACAGACAGAATCCTGCGTCTGATCTCCTCCTGCAGCCCGGACTGGAACACGCTCCAAAAACACAGACAGGCCCACCTATCTCATTAGAAATGTTGAAATGTTAAGACATGTTTTGTATAATTGTCTAATCTTTTTGTAATTATTTTATTGACTATTTTGCTTTGTATTGCTGGTTCAATAACTGTTTTTCATTGTTTAAAACTTGAGTAATACCAATTGTTCAAAGACACGATCACTCAGTCAACAATAAAATATCCTCATTAATGTTCAATCACGGTCAAATCCACATTTATTTTGTGATTTACAAATAATGTCTATTGACTTGGGTCGCGAAGGTTTGTGATTTTTAAAATATGGGTCCCCAGAATAAAAGACTAATAACTTTTCTAGTGGAGAGTCAGGACTCCAAGGAAATTAAGGAGTTATTGCTTTGTCTGGAATGTTTCACAGTATGGCATTAAACCTTTCTATCGTCATGAAGACCAAGTTACTGGTCCGATCTGTGGCGAGTAGGGGTGTAACGATATCCAAGTCTCACGATACGATATCATCACGGTATGATATTTATTGCGATATCGTGGGAAAGCTCACAATTAGGGATGTAAAAATATCCAAATCTTTCAGTACCATATTTTCACGATATACACCTCACGGTACGATATTTATTGCGATATTTTGTGGAGGCTAAACAACTAGAACTGTTATAATATGATCTAAAACTTTTTCCTCTGTAAAATGATCTTGAATCTTAATGAACAATTTAAAATCCAAAAAGAACACTAAAACTTAAAAATGTTGACTTTTTCAGAACGTCACTTCATTTTGCTGCTCTTGGTCACTACGCACTAGAAACGGAGGGCAAAGACACCTGTGGTCTATGTAGTTCCCTCTGTCTTCTTTTAGCTATTGCTGCTCCATAACTCTTAATTTAAGCAAAGACACTTGTAATTCGATATATTGTGATGGTCCACGATATTATTGCGAGAACTTTGACGATACGATAATCACGATATTTCGGTTGTTGTAACATCCCTAGTGGCAAACTGTCAGAATGTTTGTTTTTCTAGGTGTTTTGAGCTATAAAACCACATGTACTTGAATAAATGTAAGGTAGATCTGTTTAATGTCACACTGTGGAACATTCCAGGCGGAGCAGTGACATATCGACGGAAACAAGCGGGTGACGGACCTCCAACCGCAACGTTACACAATGCACCTTTAACGCCCCGCTCCCTCTGACCCTGATGGAGCACATGTGTCGAGTAAATGAGGACAGCGGTGAGTAACCCTGATGGACATACTCTCTCTCCTCCCCCCCCTCGCTCCCACATCCCTCGCTCCTCTCTCACGTGTAGCTGTCAGCGAGCTCTGTGTGAATCATTACCGGCCACTCTTGATTTGGCTCGCCCGTGCGCGTGCGTGGGGCGTGTACTGGCCTGTGAAATGTGTTTTTTGTGATCCATTGGTTCGACCCCAGAGCCAATCAGATGGAGATGTAACAAGTCTGCGGAACTGACGGAGCTCTAACGGACAGCATCATCAGGCCTGGAGACGCCGACGATCAAAAGGACAAATGAGGAGCCGAACGCAAACACAAGGCATTCAAAAAAAGGTTATTGGGGCGAAATTTCATTAGTCTATACTGTAACTGAGGATTGTTTAAAGGTGCATTGTGTAATTTGTGATTTTGTGTGATATAGGACTTTCAAAAGCACCAGTCTTCACTTTCCAATAGCAGAGTCCACTTAAAGGTATATTGTGTAACTATTCTTTAAGTTCGTGGAAACCGTCTGACCTCACAGCATTAGGATTCGTTCGCTCGACAGTAGGCGGGTACTTTTTTTATTTCAACAGCCGCTGCTATTTGATCGTGATGTATGTAATGCACCGAATCCCATAGGAAGAAGGACAATAACGTCTTTCCCCTTGATAAAATTCACCAAACATTCTCTTTGTTCCAGCTTTAAATCCTCGATCTTGGGAATCGTTGCCAACACAGAATGTCTGTCTTCGTCTACATCCATCTCGACGCTTTGTTTACTGTTGTGCTGTTCCACAAAAGGGACACAGACAGACACTTGAGTTTAACGTCATGGCTTCACAGCTCTTCTCTGATTGGCCGGCGCGCAGTCTACAATTTCCGGGGTTCTTGCAAACCGTCTAGTGTATTCTGATTCCTGATCTAGTCGCTGTAGAGAAATTAAACTGAGTGGAGGCACTAGGCAGCACCAGCCTGGCTAGGGTCTGTCTGGAATGTTTCACACTGTCTTAATGGAGACCGAACCAGACCAAAATTAAAGGTTAGGTCTGTGGAGAGGCGACCCCGATCATAGTCAGAATGCCTGTTTTTCTAGGTATCTTTGAGCTATAAAGCTGCATTCAGAGTGAAGTGTTTTTGCGGCGTGTCGTCAGGCGTCAGGGTCGTGAGAATCAGGTGTCGACGTGGTGCGTTTTGAGCGCTCAGGCATCAACGCTCTTTACGCGCATCCAGGGTGTCAGCATCAGAAGTTGAAAAAGATGAACTTTTAGCTTCGGGCCGTTCAACCAATCAGGGACTTCTACCCAGTGATGTAGCGACGTTATTACCCGGAAGAAGGAGAAGAAAGAGAAAGACCCGAGAGCCACAAACACCAGAACAAGAAATCTACGCAGTGTCATTAGTGGAGTATAAATATGCTGCAACCGGTGTGCTGATCATGTCTGCTAATGGGTTTTATGTAATAAATACACTAAAGACACTCTCTCGACCTGGAAGACAAGGTATTCGCAGACCGCAATAGACACCCTGGACACGCATCAAGTATTTTTCTCCCATTCATCTACGGCGTCCAAGATGTGCATCGAAGGCTTCTGAACGAGGCGTCCAACTAGAGGCATCCAGTTCGTTTTCTGACGCCGCGATCTGAACGCAGCTTTAAACCACCTGTAATTTAATAAATGTAAGGTGGATCTGTTTAATGTCATACTGTGGAACATTCCAGGCAGAGCAATGATATATGCATAGAAACTAGAAGACTTTTTGGAGCTTTCTACCATGTTGTTCCCTCATCAAAAACAAAAGGAAGCATCAAAAATTAAACTAAAACTGATTAAACATTGTTAATTGTTAATAGTTGCTTTTGGTGAATATCGCATTTTCAAAACAATAAAAGGTAATATGGCGATCTAAATATGTTATGTGCTACCTCATACTTTACTATAGTACGGCCCTGTTGCTGCTACTAGTTGGACCCCAGACCTTCTTGGACCTATTGGACTTACGGTGCGTATGAGCCAGTGCAGGGTGGAGCTGGCAGACGAGTAGTGGGAGCTGTAGTGACAGGGAGGGGTCTGCTCGTCGCTCCAGTTGTCATAGCGATCGGCAAAGAAGGCGGCGCGTTTGGGGTTCAGGGCTCCGATTGGCTGCAAAAAGACACAAAATATGATCCATGTTAAAGGAGACATCACCTGAAATCTACTCCTATGAGCTTTTAACCACATTACGACGCCGGGAGCACATCACCCCTGAGCTGTCCTCCCTCCACTGCCTCCCTGTGGGTTTTAGAGTCCCAGTTTAAGATTTTATGATTTGTTTTTGAATCTCTTCAGGCTCTGGCACCTTCTTATTTATGTGAATTGTTTACTTTGCACACTCCGGGCAGAACACTCAGGTCATTGGACCAGCTGCTGCTAAACTGCCCAAGGGCCAGACTCCAAACTAGAGGAGATAGAGGCTTTACTGTAGTGAACCCTAAACCGTGACAGGCCCTCACGTTACACATCAGAGCTGCTACTTCCCTGGAGAGTTTTAAAACGCTGCTGAAAACGCACTTTTTTACACTGGCTTTGATTTTTTATAGTTTTATCTGTGTTTTTAACCTTGTTTTCTCATGTTTTCTTGTGATTTATTCATATTTTTATTCTCATATTCCGTTTTATCTACATTGTTAATCACTTTAGGGCAGTACTGTCTGTTTTTAAATGTGCTATATAATCAGTGTTGGGAAGGTTACTTTTAAAATGTATTCCCCTACAGATTACAGATTACATAACCCAAAATGTAGTTTGAAACGTAATCCATTAAATTAGTTAAAGCGAGTAACGTAATCTGAATACTTTGGATTACTTGATTTGCTGTAGAGAAGCAAAGACTAGCACATAACATAACATAAGATGTTTTGTCTGCTAAAAGACAATAAAAAGCCCAGACTTTACTTAACCAAATTAAAAATATTATTGATAGAAGAGGAGAAGGAGACACGGTCTGCACAGCATGGTTTAGTCCTGTTAAATCCTTTTTTAGTCCTGTTTTAGTCCTTGTTTTAGTCCTGGTTTAGTGCTGTTTTAGTTCTGGTTTAGTCCTGTTAAATCCTTTTTTAGTCCTGTTTTAGTCCTTGTTTTAGTCCTGGTTTAGTGCTGGTTTTAGTCCTGTTTTAGTCCTGTTTTAGTCCTGGTTTAGTCCTGGTTTAGACCTGGTTTAGACCTGGTTAAGTGTCCGGCAATGAGTGGAATTACTGAAAAAAAAAAAAAAAAAAAAAAAAAGGGATATAGCCCAAAATGTGAAAACAGAAAAATACCTCTGTGTAATCCATTTATTTCAACAAAGTAACTGTAATACCAATTACACGTAACTACATTCGTAAACATCTGTAACTGAATACAGTTAATCATAATTTGTACTCTGATTTTATAACATTTATTTGTTATTTATAGTTATTTTGGCAAATATATGTCAATGTTTTTTGATAAATCTATCTCCATTTGATCTGATTAATGTTCATTTAGGCTTAAAATAACACAAGCAAACTGTACTGCACTGAAACACTCTGTGCCCCCTTTTTTAGACCCTCACCCACAGTTTGAGAACCACTTCTTTAAGAGAATTTCCACTGGCTCTTTACACAAAACTGTGAAGAAAGTGGGTAGGATTTTTAAACCTGTTTTTCAATTTCTAACTGGAGTTACATTCTCTTACTGGTTTTGCAGCGGTATTTACCAAGCTCTGCACATTTACCAAAGGCACGTCATGACAAACACAGATGCATTTGTGCACTTTTATTGGCAAACTTCAACCACGTCATGGTAAGTTAGTTGCCGACAGCAGTGGCCGTAATGAAATATGATCGCACTTGTCGAGTGTCAGACCTCGAGTCCGAGACAAGACTGAGTCCAAACACCGTCAACACTGAGACAAGACCAAGTCCAAACATCAAGTCCAAACACCAAGACCGTAAAAAAAAAAGTCTCGAGGCCAGTCTCAAGACCAAAGCCAGTCTCTCAAGTACTACAACACTACTTGACCTAAAAAATGATCAACTGTATGAACAATCACCTGCTGTGTGACGATGGACCAACATGAGATGATTTGTCAGTTTATAGACACAATTTGAGAGGGTCCGTCAAACGCTTTTCTCCATGGACATGTTATTACTTTGTCTGAAATGTTTCACAGTATGGCATTAAACCTTTCTATCTTCAGGGAGACTAAACCTGACCAAGTTACAGGTCAGATCTGTGGAGACGCGACCCCGCTCACAGTCAGAATGTTTGTTTTTCTAGGTATTTTTGAGCTATAAAACCACCTGTAATTGAATAAATGTAAAATAGAGCTGTTTAATGTCACACTGTGGAACATTCCAGGCAGAGAAATAGCATATCCATAGAAACAAGCAGGTTTTGAGATGGCTAACAATAAGATATTTTACTGTTACTGCTATAATCGCTGTTAATGAGGTGGCTACTTGATTTTATGACATCAAAATCCAGACTTTTTGAGATAAAAGCTCATGAATGTAAACAAGTCAGAACCCAAACATCTCATCTGGAAACCCTGAGTTCTTAAGACGCACATGACCTCCTCCTTATGATTATTCCAAAAGACTGGGCCACTCTTTTATAACGTTATAACTTATTAGTATAAGAAAAATGGCAAATGTCTCCTTCAGAATATAAAATGGGAGTTAAAGGTCTCATATTATGCGAAATTGACTCTTTGAAGCTTTTTGTCGTGTCATAATGTTGTTACCTTGTCACAAACATGCCTGGAGTTCTGTTTTGTTTCTTTCACACATTTGAGAAATCCTTTATTTTTAGTCTGTCTACATTTCCAAAGCGTAAAAAGGGAAATGGTCACATTTTGACACAGAGCTTTTTCACCTTCAAGGCTCTCAAAGCTCTTTACAACAAGGAATCACTCACCCATTCACACACCAGTGTACAAAGACATTGGGGGTGAGGTGGGCTAAGTGTCTTGCACAGGGACACAACGACGGCATTCATCTGTAGGAGCTGAAATCAATTGAGCCAACATGTGGGTCAATGTATCTCACGGCTCAACCAATGATGTTTACGTCGAAAGCGGGATTCGAACCGTCAAGCTTCGGATTAGTGGAGAAACGCTCTACCAGCTGAGCTACTGCCGACCAAAATGCTCGTTTCCACCTTGTTAAGTGTTAGTTTTTCACATTAACATCTACCTTTTACCTTTTGTTCAGTAGGCCCTGGCAATTCCTGTCGTAGTTCATGTTTTGTAGTCGTTTTTGCTTATTTTGGTGTAGCTTTTTCCTTTAGCGTTGTGTGCCCTCTGTGTTTTATTTTGATGTTTGTCCTGTCTGCTTCCAGTTTTGAGTTTTTCTTCCTGTCTGATAGTTTGCCCCGCCCTAATGCGTTACACCTGTATCTGTGTGCATATTATCCTTCCAAATTGGATTTCCGAGTAAGCAACATGAGTGACACGCCCCTTTTCCTGGAACGGCGCGACTTGGACCTTGGAGGCGGAAAAAGTAGACCAAGCAAGGATTCCGAATCAGAATCCAAGATGACGCCGCCCACTGTGACATGTAAATATGAACTGTTTTTTATGTTTGGACACTTTGATGGTTTAAATGACAATTTAATTCACCTGTATTACTGCAATACTTTACCTCTGTATCACTGCCTATGAGTTTGAGTAGTCAGTGTTGTGGTGAGGTCAATATTGAACAAATACATGATTTAACGGGCATTAATGTCCCTAAGGTTGTAACAGAAGAGAAATCATGACTTAAAATGAAGTGCAAATTTCAAAAAATTTAATTAATTAAAGTGGCAGCGTTTTCATAAGATGAGGGAACAGTCATAATCATAATCCATGTAGTCTGACAGCATCCATCCATCCATCCATTTTCTTCTGCTTATCCAGGGCCGGGTCGCTCCCCAGACTTCCCTCACCCCAGACACTTCCTCCAGCTCCTCCGGGGGGACACCGAGGCGTTCCCAAGATAATCAAATGCGGGGTTAATACCCTGTGTTCTCCTGTGCCCTGGGTTGGTCCATTGTCAGTGTCAGTGTCTTGTCATGACAGTTTAGTTTGGATTTTTGGATTGTTATTAAAGAACTTCAACTGCAGTCCTGCATTTTGGATCCTCCCTCTGTTTCCACGTGACAATCCCAGGGTCGAAATCATTCAAATTATTCTAGTGAAGGTGTATAGAGTTTAAAAACAGTGGAGCACTTCCTGTTTTTGCCACAGTTTTCAGTTTGAGAGGCTAAACGTGCTGGATTTGTGTGTTAAACATGTGTGAATGAAACAAAACACAACTCCAGGTCTGTTTGTGATGAGGAAACAACATTATAAAACAGATCAGAAAACTGCGTAACATGGACACTTCCTTTAAAATACTCAAAAACTCTCCAAACGTCTTGTTAGTCGTGTCAGAAGTTGCAGTCGGCTGTAGTCTGAGCGCAGAGTCACAGATACGAGCGTCTCCAGTTAAATGCATTAGCTGATCCTGGTAGATTAACCCTTGCTGACCCGACCTAAACACATCCACCTCCTGAAACATCTCCTCGCGCTTGTTCCTCAAGAGTCCGGAGAACATCAGAGCTACTGGGAACCGCGCCGGGAGTGAACAAGACGGACGACCGCTGCAATACAAAGCGTCAACAAGGCCTCAAAGCTAAGCCTGCTCATCCATCAGGAGATTCAAGACGGGGGGAACTGTACAGTGCAAACGCTTAGTGTGTTTGACAGCTGTGTTAGCAAATGTGTATGAGTTATAGCAATTATGCGGTTTAAGAATGAAAACAAAAGTAGCGTAGTTTGAAATAGTTCCTGGTTTGCTTGTTCTGCCCGTTCTGAGTGTTTCTTTTGAGTACTCCAGTTTCGAGCGTGTTTAGAATACAGCAGGGCGCTCGATCGGTAAACATACGCATGCATTTTCATCAGAAACACACTGTCTGTAACCTCAGGGGAAATATGGACAAATGCACTATATCCAAACTCAGGACCACAGTGAAAAACTTCTCCATCTCTCTTTCTCGGTTTCCTCCAAAACTGAACATTTTAAGTTATAACTGGGAAAGGGAGTGAGATTAAATACATTCTACTTCTTCATCTTCTTCTCACACTATACAGGATTCCCACATGTGTGCCATACCGTATT